ATTGATATTGGATTAGCATTTGTTGGATATGTGTAAAATTATGTGTGTTGACATATCAACTGTCTTTACATGCTTGAAAGAATAAATCAAATCAAATCAAAAATCAAATCAAATACATATATACAGTATGTACATACATACTGTATTTTGTTTTTTCCCCTACAGATGAGCTATAGTATGTCCAGATTTAGCTTTGTTGAAGTGTGAATGTATTTTATGCTGGTTAAAATCAAATGTTTTAATTAACCATCTTACAGGGCTGCAACCAGTCTGGGATCCAGCATGCTGTCAAGCACCACCAAGCTTTTCATCCAGAGTCTCACTGCATCACCATCAGCTTGAGCACGTGGAAGGCCTGGTGAGAAACCATGGAACTGAAATCATAGTGAACTGTAATGACAAAGCCAAGACCACACGCACTGCCAGTGTGCATCAGCTTGATGACCACAAGCAAGATGTCGTGAGTGTGAAGATTTGTCCAGCAAACAATAGGCACAGGTGTTGTGACATGGGTCATACACCATAGGTGTGTGTTGTTCCTTCTGATCTTGGCTACCACAAATTTCAGGCATCATTTTGGGTGCACAAGTCATCGGTCTTTACAAATAACCTGCTAATAAATGATTTTCAGTCCATTGTCATATGTGATTGTGTTTATAAAAGGTTCTCCACTTTAGCCAAGTAATTCTGTTGGCAAATAATGGTTAATTTTAACATTCATTTCTTGAGAGTTGTTAAATACCTCAGTAACGCAGTATTCCTTTCGGTGTCTGTCTGTGACCCTCCCTCATTATAACAGGTGTTTTGAATGTAATGAGGAGCTCTCCACTCACTGCAACAAGAAGGCTTTGGCTCAGACCCTAGACTTTTTACAAAAGCACTCTGTCAAGACAACATCAGGTAAGGTGTTTAGTAACATCCCAGAGGTCCAGCCACCTACTGATGTTGAAATAAGCTTTTATCAGTCAGGCACATCCTCACTGCAATTTCAGCAGGGCAGAGTTCAGCTCTGTCTTCAGTTAAAGTGGACAGTGGTTGGCCTAGACAACTTGGTAATGATAACCACATTAATGCTACTCAATTCAGCATAGCAATGTGCACTTGTGAATCTCAAGCAAGATTTAATGCAATTTGGTACCTAAATTACCACAGACTTGCCCGGAATATAATGTGATAATAGCACAAAGTGAAGCAGTTAGTTTGGTGTTTAGCAGAAGCTCTGAGCACAATAACAGTATGACTGTATACCATCCTATAACCGGATGTCTTGTGGCCAGATCAATGATTGTTGAACAGAATGAAAGATCACAAAGGTTCAAAGTCACTGTCAATGATTCACCTACATGGTAGAGTTCATTACAGTACACCTGCTCCCCCTGGTGGCAGTGGTCGTCTCCTGGATTTAACCAGCCATGCTTATTATTAGTTAATACTGCAGTGTGATGGGAAAGACCATTCTTGTGTAACAACAATGATTTCTTATGAATGCAGCTACTTTTGCTTTGACCTACTAGGCTGTTTAGGGCTTAGAGAGGCATTTTTCATGTCCTCTAGAGGCTATAAAATGAGAATACTGTGCCTTTGTCATTGAAGAGTAGTATGGATGGGCTAGAGACTGTAGCAGTGAGGAAAAGACAAGAGGCAGAGATGGAGGTAGCAGAGATGAGGATGTTGAGGTTCACTTTAGGAGTGACCAGGATGGACAGGATTAGGAATGAGCACATCAGAGGGACAGCTCAGGTCGGCTGTTTTGGGGACAAGGTCAGAGAGGCCAGATTGAGATGGTTTGGACATGTGCAGAGGAGGGATAGTGGTTATACTGGTAGAAGGATGATGGAGATGGAGCTGCCAGGCAAGAGGTCAAGAGGAAGGCCAAAGAGGAGATATATGGATGTGCTAAAAGAGGACATGAAGTTAATTGGGGTGAGAGTAGAGGATGCCGAGGATAGAGTTAGGTGGAAACAGATGATTCGCTGTGGCGACCCCTAACGGGACCAGCCAAAAGAAGAAGAAGAAGAAGAAGATAAATGTCATTGCAAATGTATAATAATTTCACTTGCGAGTAAAATTGTGAAGACTTGAGTTTGAGGAGAATCCAGGTTCTGTCACAGCAGGTTGTTTTCATACTGATATTTGACTGCCTGACTGACTATTTTGATTCTTCGTTTCACCTCGGTCAGTGTACCTGAGCCCTCTAGTTTTGCTTTTGTCAACGAAAATTATGACTAAATATTGTCCTCAACGAACCTTTATCACGTGACGAAAACGAGATGAGAGGCAATGTAAATGCTGGTCGTGTGACGATGACTGTAATTAAATGTATAATGCAATATTGTTGAGGAAAAAAATGAGACTAAATGTGGTTTTCAAAACTATGCCAAAATGTCTCTTCATTTTCATTGACCAAAACGAGACGAAACGAAATGTTATAGCGTTATTTTGTCTCATTCAGTTGCGTTATTATTATTATTTTGCAGTATTTCTGTTTCCTGTGTTTTGCTTGAGGGGCTGCATCAGGTTGCACTGCGCAGACGCAGGCGACGTCACTTCCTTATTTAGGAGACGACAACAAACAAAGTTAAGTCTGACACAGAGAAAGGGACCGATGGCCGGCCAGCCGGGGTTCGTCTTTGGGAGAAAAAGAAGAAACGACATTTGGAAAATCTTACTAACTAACTCATAAAAACTAAAATGACAGCTTTACACAAAGACTAGACTAAAACTAAAATTAAAACAGCCCTCCAAAAACAACTATAGAGCCCTCCTTTCCCAGTCAGTCAACCGTTCCAGTATTACCCTTGCATTCCCTCTCTGTACTTAAAACACACATACACTTTCTGTTGCTGCCTTCATGTAGCTCTTGTACCTCTCCTACTTTGTGCTGGCATCCTGAGAGGCCTCTTAAAAGGCTGTAGCTGACCAGGGTGGTAAAAGTGATGCTTTTGGTCTTACTGGTTGTCTCAGCTTAACCCCCTGCCCAGTTTGCAATGGCCAGAGGCCAGCCACGCAGGCCATCAGGCTGGTCCACTGTCAGTCTCTCATGTACGGCTGCAAAGCTGTGGGACTGATAATGCAGCAATCCCCCACCCTCCTCACCCCAGCACTGCATGACTGCACACATTAGAGGAGTTAGGCGCTTGAGTGATGCTTCTCGCCTGGGTTCCCTGAAGAACAGGAGCAGCTGTGTGGGGTACAGCCTCTGCTCTGTTATTTTTTGTCATTTCATTGCTATCCGTTTCTTTCCCTTACTTTCTTGTTGAGTTGTTGTATGTCTCACCACCTCTGGGCCTGTGTGCTGCACTAGTGGGAGCCAGGGTCTTCTAGTCAGAACAACTGGATCCTGACAGCTGGAGTGCACTGACTCTCAGTGGACAAACACATACATACACAGAGTGCTGAAAATAAGCAAACAAGCAAACATCCCATGTTCTTTCAATCTGTATTTAATGTTTGCTGGCCATTATGAGTGATTTGAATTTTCACAATTAAACTAAGTTGAATTTTAACAGCACAGTGTATTCTTTGCAGCCGACACCGCAAGGAATTATAAAACTGAATCTTAATAACCAGTATTCATTATGTACATTACAGACACAAGGAATTAGCCGATTCTTTGAGTAAAATGTGTTTTGAGAAAGCCCTTATAGTTTGTGCTGCCAAGCCACCTAAAATTTAAGAACAGACAGAATCCCACAGGGTATGAGAGATTAACAATGGAAGACACACTTAAAAATCAAATCTTTTTTCAAGTGTAATTCCACCAATAGTATTCCTTAAGATTCCATGTTGTTCTATTGTTGTTTCTTCATGACAGTAGAGTGTAGATAAACTTATGCACACCAGTTTCTTGAGTCATTAAAACAAATAAGTCTTGATGAGCAAGTCGTGTGTGTTGCTCTCTGTAGGTCTATACAGTACGTTTGTAGAGCAGCCCTTTAGTGTGCATGGTGCCAAGCAGGGCTCCACTGTTGGTGGCAAACAGTCTGTTGAGCTAGGCAGTCGCTGCCTACAGCATTCCCCTTTTCCTTTTTAAATTACCAGTCTCCTCTTTTTCCACCCAGTTGTTCCACACCGGTCAGCCAAATGGGTATAGAAGCGGGCAGCTATTGTGCCGCAGAATAGGCAGTTGTCTGTTGAGTAGCTTGTGAAATTGCATTTTAGTGTGAAGGCCAGATTTTCAGAAGAAGTTGCTGTTATACTCAGCTTTTCCTATAGACCCCAAGCACAAAAGAGCCTCAGCAATGATTTTTTTTTCTAGAATCTATAATAATTTTGTACAACAACAGCTTAGGGAAGAAAGAAAGTTGATTAACTGTGCTCTCTCACCATCAAGGCCTTCAGCTCAAGTACCAGAGTTCCAGTAAAAAGCGAAATGACCTTAGGAAGCTCGACTCCAGCTTGTAACACAGCTGGGGAGTCTTTGTGGAACAAATTAAAATGCTGCTGCTGAATAGACATCAGAGCTTGTTTCTCAGTGGAATCTGTCTTGTTTTAGGCCACTTATTTGTATCAGTCACTACATCACTCTACTATTATTTTACTCTAACATATTGGATATATCTAATATTTAAAATCTGTAAAAATCTTTTTTTCGTTCTGACAAAATAGTTGTATAGCCCCGGAAACCATCAGTCATCAAAGGAAGTTATCATTCAGCTTTCTCCAAAATTTGTGGAATTTCTTCCTTTTCTACACGTTGACACATTCCTAAAACACATATACAGTGATGTACTGCATCTTCATAGACACATGACATACCATCCACTACTGACAACAATTAAATCCAGTCAGTTAGCAAAAAATAGCAAGAGTGCATAGTCCTTGCTCTTCAAATATGATTTTCTCTTTTACACATATCTGCACCGGCACTTCATTTTCATCATTGAAATTGCAGCCACTGATACAGTGAATGGACAGTTCTGTTGGAACATTTTCATAGGTTGCCAGTTGGTTGTAATGCTGGTTTGTCATAATTGCACTAAATATCACATTGCACATTTTTTTCAACAGAGAAAATTAGAGATTTAAACCAAATATGAAATTCTTATTTTTCCATTGCGGTGGTGTGAGGGTTATCCTATGCCAGTACAAGACATATGCTTTCTGTTTGCACAGTGGTGGTTCTTTGGCTCTCAGGATGCACACTTGTGTGTCCAGTAGGGGTGAAGCCGAATACAAATGCAGTTTTCAGAAAAGCACAAATAGTGGGTTTATACACATATTTATTTTGTACAGATATTTTCTTTGAAATTGTTTGTTTTTGGGAAGAAAACAGCAAATAGCTGGTGATCCTCGTACCTGTGAGTGCACTGGATACTTATGCTCAGTCCTGCTTGTGCTGACTTAGGCAAGACGATAGGAGATTGGAGCAGAGAGAGACTGGAATGGAGCCTGATTTATTATATAGGAATTAGGTGAAACACAATACATTGCCATGCTAGTATATTGCTTTGATTTGCTCTTTTTACCTTAACTGGTTTGCTGAGGTTATAATTTTACTTTTGTTTTCCTGTTGGTCCTGCAGTATGTGAAGCGGAGTTTGTTTGACCTTGAGGAAGAGATTAGCCGACGTTGGCTCTAGCAGCTAGTTTACCTACACACTGTGCTCACTGCTCTGTCAGCCTGTGTCACGTGGTTGTAGATATCATACTGGAGAAATGGAACATCATTTATAGCTATTGTAGCATAATTGCTGTACCACTATTTCAACTTGGAAGTCAGGTGAAGCAGAGCTTGCTTGACCAGCAAGAAATTAGGATAGCATTTGCCTGTTAGCCCTGTAACTTATCCTTATATTAGCACTTTAATATCCAAAAAATTACAAGTGTACTACAAACAAAAACAAGATTGTTACACCTGTTTCCACTTTTATTCAAATACAAATAATTTTGCTGCCTCAC